GAGAATGGGATAGAGATAGGGGCTGTAGGATCCAATACTAAACTCATCTCTGTCTCTGTTTTTATATGTCATTTAACTTTCTGGGCTTCAGTGGCAATAAGTAAGTCTTTAATTCCTATTGTCCTGTTTTAAAGGACATTGAAGAAATTATCACTTCAAATATGCATATCTCTTTATAACTTTTATCTTTTTTTTGGTACCGGAACTGAACCCAGGGGTGCTTAACCATGAGCCACATCCCCAGCCCATTTTAATATTTTACTTATAGACAGGGTCTCACTGAGTTGCTCACTGAATTGCTGAGGCTGGCTTTGAACTTACAATCCTACCTCAGTCTCCCAAGCCACTGAGATTACAGGTGTATGCCACCATGCCTGGCTGTATAATTTTATATTTAACTCTGAAACTGGGGACTCAAGGAAACCTATAGACATAATCACAAAATAACTCACACAGGTGTCAGACCTTGAGAAATATTTCATGGTTATATCAATGACTAAAAGCATATTCTTTGGCATCAATCAGCCCTCTGTGTTTGAACTGCCTTTGCCATTTAGTTTCTATGTGTAGTACTGAACCTCTTTGAGCCTCTATTTCCTTATATAGAAGACGTGAGTAATTATGATCAGTTTATAGGATTATTATGAGAAATAAATAATACAATGAGTATAAAAAGCTATTATCAGAGTAATTAGTATACAGCAAACACTTGGTGTGTGATAACAGTACTTGAATAGTTGTATAATTCTGATTTGATATTTAACATCTGTATTAGCTACCCATCACTATAACAAAATGAATGAGATAACAAATTTATAAAGAGAAAAGGTTTATTTTGATTCACAGTAGGTTCTAATCCATGATCAGTTGGCCCTTTTGCTTTGGGCCTATGGGAAGACAGCATATCACAGCAGAAATATGTGGTGGAACAAAACTATTCACATCACAAGCCAGGGAGTAAAGAGGTAGAGGAGGGGGGGTGTCCCACCATCCCCTCCAAGGACATGCTCCCAGTGACCTAAGGCCTCCTACTAGGCCCCTCCTCTTAGAGGTTCCACCACCTCCCAATAATGCTACTCTGAGAATCAAGCTTTTTGAAAATGGGTCTTACTATAACACTATCCAAATAATAATTCTGTAAATAAAGTTGAATCTCATGAAACATGGTGGGGCGAGGGTAAAGAAAAGAAAAAACAAACAAACAAAAACGTCTGGCGGGAACCAGGAAATTCCTCAAAGAGACAAAATGCTCAGCCACCTGAAAAAGAGTTGTTTAGAAAAAGGATAAGCAAGGACAGAGAGAAGAGGTAGAATTGGAAGGAAATTACATTACCCTTATTATACCTGTGCCATTATTTTAGGCACAGAAATCTTGTAGAAATGGGATGACTCTTTTGGTTGACCCTCCAACAAATGCATTTTTCTGAGAAGTTTGACCCCACAGTCATTCCTGGCAGCTCACCAACTTTTCTTCTCTTCCATTCTCTCCCTGAATTCATTATTATCTCAGCTTGTCATACGTGTCTTTCTGAATGGCCTGGAAACAGGGGTGCTCCTGAATCCCCCTGGGCAAGGTTAGCCCAATAAAAAAGCATATCCCTTGATCTTCTCTAAGGCCAGCTGTTTGCCTAAACAAAATTTTAAATAAGAGGAGCCACCAATTCAATCTGTATCCTAAAAGCAAACTAAATGCATGGGGTAGGACCCATATTTATGGTTTTTTTCACTGTATTTCCAGCCTAGAATTGGCTCACAGTAAGTGCTCAATATATTGAATGGATAGAGGCATGGACAGGTGGATGGTTGGATGATTAAAATCATGGGCTACTTCTGGTCTTGGCAAACATGGCTATGCTCCTCTTTTCCTCCTGAGAGCAAATGGGATAGGAGATCCTGAATTGTTCTGTAACTTCTATTGCCTAGGTTTCTGCATTGCCAATCTCACTTGAGTAGACTCCTGTAAAATTTGTGAAACTGACAATCATATAACTGTGTCATATCTTTGCTCTCACTTCTAGAAGGGTCTTCAATTATCCTCTCAGCTAATTAATACTTTACTAAGGGAAAATGTTATAGAAATGTTTTTAATTATCTAAAATCCAAACGTAAGTAAGAGTTTCATGTGGTCTACTCTTTATAAGACACTCCCATTAAGAAAATGAAAATTATAAATAAAAATTTATTTTTAAGATTCTAATATTTCCTGATAATTTTCAGTGTTTTATAATCTTAGATAATCCTTTCACAACCAATGTAGTTCTTAATTGTCTTTTCCTGTGTCTCATTTTAAATATCTTTCACATTCTAAAACTTTCTCAACTTTTTCCTCTTTATAACTCGAACTCTACCTAAAACTCATCCAGCAAACTAAATCTGCAAGGCTCTTCTCATTTTTCACCTTTTACTTTTATTCTATGTCCATTCTTTTCTTCTTTGTTCATCCAAATGAATCTGTCTTGGCCACTTCCATTGGAAAGTGCCATCCCTGATTCATTTAGTAGTCCCAGCCCTCTTGATAAAAACATACGGCCAACTTGACTGGGGATGTAGATCCCCAGTGGTAGAGCACTTGTCTAACACATATGAAGTCCTGGATTCAATTCTCAGCACCACTACAAAAAAAAAAAAGGCATATGAATGAAGTCAGCATCTACAACATTGTCTTTGAGATAGGGAGTGACATGAGGAAGAGAAAAAGAAGGGCGCTGAATTCTTCTATAAATTAATAATTTTTATAAGTCATATATAAATGGGATTGCCCATAAAAAGAGCTCAGGTACAGATGGAGAACAGTGAAAAGCAAAGACAGGAACTGGTGAGAGGCAGTTCCCAAAAGAAAATGTGAGTCTTACAAAAACCAAGATGGTAAAGAGAAATGTTTATAAGCCCAGGAATACAGTGGAAGCAGTAATAAAACAACTGTGATAAAAGATGAAAATCTTAGTTGGGAAAAGAAGTGTTAGATTTTCAGGTTTGGTTCAGAGAGTGTAAAAATAATCATGATGTCAGAAAACTGAAAGATCACAGTTGCATTTGAACTTGAGAATGGAGGAAACATCTGGAAACTGGCTGGAATGACTGAGCTAATGTGCATGCAGTAAAGGATATACCAATTATCCTGATGTGATCATTATACATTTGTTTATATGTATTGAAATATAACACTATATTTGTACTGATTAAAATTTTACTTTATTAAGTTGGGCACAGTGGCTCAGGAGGTTGAGGCAAGAGGATCGCAAGTTCAAGGCCAGACTTAGCAACTTAGCAAGCCCTAAGCAGCCTAGACCAAAAAACTTTTTTTTTAAACTTTTTTTTTTAAAAATCACTTGTTTATAGCTGGGAAAAGGAAAGAATTCTCCTTAATTCTAGAAATAGGATTAGGTCATGAAAAACTTTCTATATTAAGGATGAAACATTGGACCTGTACTTGTGTAATATTATGTTAACTGAGCTGATTTTATATACAATGCTTATCCATGCAATGTGGGAAAATGGCTCCTGCACTTTAAATTATTTGTTGATAACATAGTTATTTGAGTGGTTCATATTGGAAAAGGGACCCAGGAGCAACCCTGAAAGAGAGTTTGTGATTTAAAGAGAGAAATGACCACAATCTTGTTAGTGGACATTGTGATGGTTGAATTTGTCAGGGATAGACATACCTTGTCTTCCTTTGAGATCATCTTGAAGATTTTATCACAAAGAATTTGTTTTAATGTGAAAAAAAAATTGGGAGGAAAACCTGAATTTTATTAGTCCCTCAGAACTCACTAATCTTCCAGATTACAATTAAGCTATTTTGCTTTAACAGGGAACCCTTTAATATTTTTAAAAGCTCTTCACAAGGTGGGAGACTCTGTCCAGTGGTCCATCACTGCTCCTTGAAATAAATCTGTTCTGATTTATTTCAAGGCAGCTCAGTCCTTTTGCCGTTCCACTTAAGAGTTGGAGATTCCCCAGCTGCTCTGAGACTCAGGTCTGTTTGTCTGCAAAGAAAACTCCTGGGTTACCAAGGGACAGAGGTACATCAGGTAGAAAAGAAGGAAAGAGAAAGAAAAATCTACAAGATACCCACAGGCACCAAGTGGAAATCCTCCTTAAGAAAAGTCATAGCACCCCAGGACCCTCAGTGTATGGTAAAAGTGAAGACTTGTGTGTGAAGATACACTATAGCCAAAGAGCAAAGCCTATAGTGTGGAGCTACTACTTACTAAGGGGTGTGTCTTGTTTGTAGCCCCCACACAGCATCTAACCAAGTACTTTGCACCTTCTCTGCCACTCACTAAAAGCCTCTTGAATTAATTAGCAATACATTGTTTTCAGAAAATGAGAACCCTCTTCTCCTTGTTGCACTTTCTCCATCAAGGATATCAGCCTAAGAGAACATTACCTCACAGGTTTGGACTAGCACCACAAAACTGGATAAGTTACAAGGGAGCTAATTTAACAAACAGAACTGATGAGATCTCTGGGATCTCTGGCCAGCCAGCTGAGCCCTTGGAAAAATGCAAAAGGTGCATGGGGTCTAGGATTAGTAATTCAGCCCTACTGTGAAGATGTCTAAGTTGTAGCCAGTTAGGAAGTGAGGTTCTTTTCCCCCCAGGGACCTGTCCTACTCCTCCATCTAGGGAACAAACAGAACACTGTGGCTCTGTCTGTGAATCAAGCCCCAAAGGCCAGCAGTCAGGGCCAGGAGGGTAGATCAGAGAAGAAATTAGAAAAGCAAACATTTGTTTGTGGCAACTCCCCTCTTTGTGGATCTCTGCCCAGGCCTGGCCCCAAACATAGGGTGTCCACAACTTCTTCACCAGGGCAGCATCCTGCTGTAGCACAGCCAGGACCAGGAGTGAGGGAAAACTGCCCACTCTGAGTAGATAATATCTGGAAGGAATGAATATTTGGGAAAAGTCCCAGTGTTAGTTTAGTGCCAACCCGCCTCCACCTTTTCCAGCCCCCTCCCACTTGTTCCTCCCCTTTCAGCTGCTCCAATTCTTATAAAAACCCCTCAGGCTTTCCCTAACAGCCTGTAGGAGCCTCTGCCTACTGCTGCTGTGCAAGACAGAGACCCACCCACAGCACGCCCAAGAGACCATGAAGAGCCTGCTGCTTCTCACCATTGTGGCTGCCTTAGCGGTGGCAACTTTGTGTTATGGTGAGAAACCCTCCCTGCTGTCTCTCTTTTTCCTTTCCTGCCTCTGACTTCTGTTTACTTCCACTTTTCCTCTCCTTTTCTCTCTGAGTCTCAGGGGATACCAATCAGTTCCAACAAGTCTATTTTATATTGTAAAATATCTAGGCACTTATAAGAACTTAACAGTTAAATCCTTTCAGTGGTACACCTAGAAACTTAGATATTTTAGGAAGAAGATATCAAATTCCCAGCCCCTGCGCTCTCATTTTTAAGGCTATGGATTTAGACTTTGGGATTGATGGCTTAAAGATATTGGTTGAATTTTTTACTTTTAGGAAAACCAGTTTGCACAGGAAATACTAAGTACAGCCCTTTCTGGGGACAGGACAATGTCATGAACTTGCTACATTTGTTCAGTGAATTAATTTTAAAGCAGTTTTACATTTAAAGAATTCCAGGGGGGAAAAAATCTATTTTGTAACTTCTCTTGTCAAAAAATGAATATTTTTTTTTCTGGTTTCTATGTTGTTAAATATAACTGTGTTTATGCAAAAAGTATAGAAGGAAATTTCAAGTGAAACTGTTTACATAATTCTGCTTCAATTACCTGGATCTTTTAGCAGGTTTAAGCCTAAATTGCATTAACAACGCTAAGTATTCTGCTCCTTACCCTTGAAATTATTCACAAATTTTCTGCATAAGGAGATTTATTTTGTCATGCCCTTTTTAAGTTTTCAAGAAAACTAATTTGCACATATATAGAGATGTATATATTTATGCCTTTTATTGTCAGATTTACCTGCTGTGCTCAGGAGAGCAGTAGAAAGAAGAATCTTCTGCTTTGACATCCTCTGCATTGGCATTGTGCCCCGTACAAGTTTTCTCTGGATCCAGTGGTTTCTGCAGCTGCCAATTTAACACACATTCCTATGAGGCTTACAGAACCTCTTAGAAACTTGTCCTGGTAAAGCCCAGCAGAGCAAGAGCTCTGGAGCTCTCCTGCCTGGAGAGGCCTGGCTGTTTTCTATATTCCCTGTAACTTCCTTGACCCAATTCTCAAACAGGCTCTGAATAAATCAGAAGAGAAAGCACTCTGGAGACTTCTGTTCAGCACCTAACATGTCTTATTTTACTTAAGACCTCATAGAACTTGGGAAATCTTAGCCAAGACAGGCTACTACCTCTTTTGACATCAGATAAACAAGGATAGAGATGTCCACAGCAAGGACAGAGCTAGGGAAACAGCTCATAAGTCCTAGATTCCTGAAATTTGTATTAACCACATGGCTAAATATATTCTTCATATTTTTTGATTCTTTCCTCTCCATCTATCCTTAATTTAGACCATTGCAGTGTCTGAAAACTAATTATATAATGAAATCTTTTTTTTTAAATTCCAGAATCCCATGAAAGCATGGAATCCTATGAAATTAGTAAGTGAATACTTGACTTCCCAATTTTAAATTTCCTGCATTAAAGAATTTTCTCCCTGTTTTTAAATAAACGAACTGGTAAGACATAACAAGGAGGACAAAGAGGGCCTCCTTTGGAAAACTAAGGAAAATATAAAAATCCAATGACTGTAAAAACCACCAAATGAGCAATATTTAAAGCTTGGAATAGTATAATATGACATTTAAACTGCATTCAACATGCTTAGGAGCCATACGATCTCATTTGGAAATTTTAAGTTGGCACCACATCCACCACACAAATGGAAAACTAGGACAAATGACAAATGGTAAAGTACAGAGTGGAAGGCCAAGTCCGCTGACAGACTATGGTGTCAGCTTTAAGCTGAATGCTGTTGAATATCTGGACTTACAAAGACTGAGTGTGGTATTTGTTCATTATTTTTAGTGTTTAAACTGCTCAGTAATGGTAATCTAAGTTATGTTTTCTAAGTCCTGAGGACAGAGAAAATTTGTCCTCAAATAAATTAAAAACACAGAGAGTAGGATTTACCAAAAGCAAGAAAGGCAAAGTCATTGCCAAAGACGAACCAAAGAAAAATTCTGTGGCCTGTGTGACAAGTCTCTAAGACACTTAAATGAGTTATTTATTTGGCTCAGGCAGTTTATGGAATAGGCTTTATCCTCTGCTTTGATTTTGGCCTATCTCTGATGACATAAAGTTCAATGAATTTATGAGAAATAAGAAGTTTATTGGGAGCATGGGAGGAATAGATGAACTCTAGATAGGGCAGAGGGGTGGGAGGGGAAGGGAGGGGACATGCGGTTATTAATGATGGTGGAATGTGAAGATCATTATTATCCAAAGTACAGTTATGAAGACATGAATTGGTGTGAATATACTGTGTATACAACCAGAGATATGAAAAATTGTGCTCTATATATGTAATAAGAATTATAATGCATTCTGCTGTCATATATAAAGAAGAAAATACATATTAAAAAAGAAATGTATTTCCTTTCAAATAAATTTGTATGGGATATTCATAAAAATATTTTCAGCTACTGTTTTCCTAAAGTTGTATTCATTTATTTTTCTGTTTTCAGATCCCTTCATTAACAGAAGGAACGCTAACACCTTTATGTCCCCACAGCAGAGATGGAGAGCTAAAGCCCAAGAAAGGTGGGTAACAGAACTTGTTGAGGGTCTCTACAAGTATGTTGTATATTTTACAGCGTAGCATCACCTGTCTGATTAGAGTGAGAAAAAGGGTTTTATCACAGAGTTCATCATAGATATTTAATTATGTCTTAAAATTCTTTGATTTCAAGCCAGTCTACAGAAAACAACTGAATAGCTAGAAGACTCTTATGAAAGATGAAGAGAGAGAAGGAGGAGGGAAAGGACAGAGAGAATAGTTCTGTTTTCATTTAAAATATGTAAATAAATAAAACTGTTCTGCCTTCCCTCCCTATTCTGCAAATGTCTCTTCACATTGGGGGAAATGGCTCTCTCCAATATTCCCCGTACTCTCTTTTTTTCACTTTTCCTCTTTCTTATTTCCTGGCTTTCTTTGTGCCTCTCAATTTGGGCCTCTTTCTGCTTTTCCAGGGTCCGAGAGCGCAGCAAGCCTGCCTATGAGATCAATCGGGAAGCCTGTGATGACTTCAGACTGTGCGAACGCTATGCCACGATGTACGGATACAATGCTGCCTACAATCGCTACTTTAGACAGCGTCGAGGGACCAAATGAGATGGGGAAAAAATGTCTCTTTTGTTCTGGAGTCTGAAGCCTGGTTTTATATCCCCCTGCAGTAGCATTACTGAAATACAAAGACACATACACGATGCTCATTTTCTATATAATCTCTTGTCTGGCTGCACCCCTCCTTCCTGTCCCCGGAGTTGTCAGTCGTGAAAGTGCAGTGCGTTAAGATGTGTAGTTTTACATAATAAACTTCTGATTTGATAAGTTTCATTTTGTGAATCTGATTTCTTCTGGGAAAATGCTGAGATAGTTGAACCATGGTCCACCTAACCCAGAATAGGAGATTCTGTTAATCTTGCCTCTAGTGTTGGTTAGAAGCACAATTATATAGAAAATAAATAAATAAATAAAACCTAGAAGGCACTGACCCAACCACAATTTACTAGACCCTCTTTACATTGGGATTAGTGAACGACTGTTTCCTATTTTGTGTTTTACAGGATTTTCTAACTGTTCATGTGACAATTATAGGGTTCACTCCATTTGTTGTTTATCTTTTATACATCAAGGTAAAAAAAAAAGAGTGCCTTCTGTATCAGTAAACTAGAAAGATGTAAAATGAAGAAAAATGATAAAATGGAAAACAAATGGCAAGATGATAGATTTAAACTTACTTTATCAATAATCATATCATATTTACATAGCTTAAATACCCCCATTTTTTTGCTTTGATATATGCTGTACATTTTATAATACATTTTTATAATCTTGCTTTAAACAGCCAATTATTTTTAAAACATTTAGATAAACAGAAAAATATCACATACATGTATCTGTGTAGTTTCTACTTCTAGTACACATTCAGATTTCTATCTGGGGCCATTTCCCTTCTGTCTGAAGAACTTCCTTTAACATATCTTGTGATGCAGTTCTGCTGAATTCTTTTGTTGTTGTTGTTGTGGTGGTGGTTAGTTTGCCTTCATTTTTGAAAAATATTTTTCACTGTATATCAAATTCAAAGTTGCCAGCTTTTTCTTTCAGTTCTTTAAAATGTTATTCCACTGTTTTCTACTTTGCATTGTTTCTGATGTAAAATGTATTGTCATTCATACCTTCGTTCCTCAATACTACCATGTTTTTTATCTCTGGCTGCTTTAAGATTTTTGTATTATTATTGGCTTTAATAAAATTGATCATGAGGCACTTTGGTGTGGTTTTACTTCTTTTTCTTGTTCTTGAGGCTTATTAGATTGTACTAAATTTAGAAACTTTTTAGCAATTATTTCTTCAAATGTTTCCTCTTTTTCTCCTTTGGAGGCTTCAGTGACTTGTATATTTGGCCATTTGAAGTAATCCCATAACTCCCTGATGCTATTTTTATTTTGTGATATTTTATTCTCTATTTCATTTTTGACACTTTCTATTAACATACTATGAGGTTCTTTAAACTTCTCTTTGGCAATATCTAATTTACTATTCTCCTCTAAGGTCTATTAATCTCAGACACTATTTTTCATCACTATAAGACTGACTTGAATATTTTTATATCTTCCATATTTCTACTTGTCTTTTTAAATATCTTTGATATAGTTATAATAACTATTTTAATGTCCTCATATGCTAATTCTAATATCTGTGTCAGTTCTGGACTGATTCTGATTGATTGTTCTACTTTCATGGATCACAATTTTCTACTTGTCTGAATTATTGGTCATCTTTTACTTGATGTTAGACATTGGTAAGTTTACATTTTTGTGTGCTGGATGTGCTTGTGTTCTTAAATTTTGCTCCAGGATTCGGTCAAATTGCTTAGGAAAAGCTTGATTCTTTTAAGTCTTGCTTTTAAATGAGACCAGATCAGTATTTAATATAGAGATAATTATTTCCCCACACTGAGGTAACACCCTCTCAGTATAGCACCCATGATTGGATGGTAGGAACAGGCAATAATCCTAGACCTAAATTCATGCCAGCCCAACTTTCCCACTATTTAATAAAAGATGACACCAGGCCAGAACTTACTTTTGAATTTCTTATCTCACATAGGCTCATCCTTCATTGCTTGATGTCAGGGTCTTGAAAACTATTTTTCCATGTGTACTTTCTGTTTTATCAGTTGTTTCTGGGGGAGGGTAAATTTCATCCCTGAGATCCTACCTTGGCTAAAAAGCCTATTAATTCAGGCAGGACTATTTTAAATGGTTATCCCAGTTACAGAGTTTCCCCATTAAAAAAATGGATGAAACATTTATTACAATTACATCATAGTTCAAATGCCCACTCTACTCGGCCTACTTCTCAAACTCTCTTCTTATGTTGTTCCCCAATAAACCACCTGCACACAAATCTCTTAGAGTCTGTTTCTCAGGGAACCAAATCTATGATGGTCATTCAAGTAGTAAGCAGTGAGACCAAGGTTTTCTACCTCCACATCTCTTATTTTTATCATCACACAGTGCTAGAGTTACAGTTTTTGAGTTGGAACATAGTTCAGAAATAGTCTAATTCAGCCTCCCCATTTTACAATTGAGGACTCAGAGGCAAACTGACCCTTCAAGGAGCATGTAATACTCTTAAGAAATTTGTTTGTATGGGCCTAATAAAATCTAATTCCTTAGATTTTTAATCCAACTTTTTAAAGGGATATGTACAAAGATCCCATATATTTTTACCAATCTCCCAGTGGCACACTTTCCAATCTTATGAAGCTTTACTTAATGCAGTTCCCACCTCAGTCAAAATTTTTCTGTCTATCTTGTCAGTACTGTGATTTTATTTTCTATATCCTGGTTTTTCAGAATGAAAACACATGAAATGATAAGTCATAAATCTTTTTTTTTCTAATCCTTTCACCATCTTGGTAAGGCTTTTCCTGGAGTACTTCACCCTGAAAAACCATAGAGTGTTTAAACACAGTACTATATTACTATCCATAAAAGCAATTTAGCTTCTTAGGAAAGAATTTGAGAATAAAGCTTTTGGAGGTAGTTTTTACCCAAGATTTACTACTTAGAACTGTGTCAATTAGGACATGCTAATAAATTTCACTGGGCCTTAGTTTTCTTTTTTTTTTAATTTGTTTTACTTTATTATACATGTCAGCAGAATGCATTTCAATTCATTGTACACAACTGAAGCACAACATTTCAATTCTCTGGTTGTACACAATATAGAGTTATACCATTTGTGCAATCATACATGTACCTAGGGTAATGATGCCAGTCTCATTCCACCATCTTTCCTGCCCTCTCCCTTCCCCACCCTCCCCTTTGCCCAATCCAAAGTTCCTCCATTCTTCCAATGCCCCCCCTCCTTCATTATGGATCAGCATCCACTAATAAGAGAAAACATTCAGCTTTTAGTTTTGGGGGATTAGCTTACTTCGCTTAACGTGATATTCTGCAACTCCATCCATTTATCTGCAAATGCCATAATTTTATTCTCTTTTAATGCTGAGTAATATTCCATTGTGTATATATACCACAGTTTCTTTGTCCATTCATCTATTGAAGGGCATCTAGATTGCTTCTATAGTTTAAAGCTATTGTGAATTGAGCTTCTATAGACATTGATGTGGCTGCATCACTATAGTATAACTGATTTTAAGTCCTTTGGGTAAAGACTGAAGAGTGGGATAGCTTGATAAAATAGTGGTTCCATCCCAAGTTTTCTAAAGAATCTCCATACTGCTTTCTAGATTGGTTGTACCAATTTGAGGTGCCACTAGCAATGTATGAGTGTACCTTTTTCTCCATATCCTCACCAACACTTATTATTGCTTGTATTCTTGATAACTGCCATTCTGACTGGAGTAAGATTAAATCTTAGAGTAGTTTGATTTGAAATTATCTAATTACTAAAGGTGTTGAACACTTTTTCAAATATTTGTTTATCACTTATATATCTTCTTCTGAGAAGTGTCTATTCAGTTCCTTAGCCATTTATTGATTGGGTTTTTTTTTTTTTTGAGTTAAATTTTTTGAGTTCTTTATATAACCTAGAGATTAGTGCTCTATCTGATGTGCATGTGGTAAAGATATTCTTCCACTATTCAGGCTCTTTTTTTCACATCACTGATTATTTCTTCTGCTTAGAAGAAGCTTTTTAGTTTGAATCCATCCCATTTATTGATTCTTGATTTTATTTCTTGCACTTTAAGAGTCTTGTTTAGGAAGTCAGGGCCTAATCTGACATGATGAAGATTTGGGCCTACTTTTCCTTCTATTATAGGCCTTAGTTTTCTTATGTTTTTTAATCTACAAAATAAGATTATTCTAGTACCTGATTCATAATTGTTGCCAATATTAAATAAATTAATACATGCAAATGCATGAAACACTGCCTGGCACAGAGTAAGTGCTCAATAAATGTTAGCTATTTCTATTGTCACTTTCTATCATAATGTACCACTATTATATCTCTGGATATTTAGAAATACAAGAAATCTCTCTTTGGGGATTTCTAGTTATACCCTGAGCAATTATCATTGACTATGAAGAGCTGACAGCTAGACTTAGAGCCAACCAGAACCCACAGCATGGGCCAATTTGTACCCACTCTACTCTTCCTCTCTCCACTACTGGGCCATGTCTAACTATGCTGACCAAGTATCTGTTTTCATAAAAGACTGGGCCAGGAAAGTGTATTTTGGTTTAAGAAAATTCATGACTTAGTTTTATACTCAACTGGATTTGGAATTCTTGCAGCCAAAGTAATCCACATGAGAATGAAGCTTAACCTAAATTCTTATTTGGTAGCAGTTGCAGTAGCATTCTTGAGCACCATTTTCATCCTTACCCTTAACTGTTTAATGAATGGAAACTTTAAGTAATCTATTGCTTTATCTGATTTTTTTTCTTTTTTCTTTTTCTTTCTTGCTCAATAAGTTTATTTATTGTCTTTATCTGAAAAATCGTCACAGAAAAACCTGTTTGGTTTAGCTCACAGCAGCCCATTCCTGACCTCTGAGGAAGCTCACCTTCTTTTGGGCCACCTGATCTTTCTTCTACGGAAAGGACATTTGGGGATGTTTCCACCTCTTCTTATTAACTTCTCTTGGGTTTCTTCTCATAGACTGGATTCTCGCATATAGTAGAAGGAGCTTTCTTGTAAATCTCCTTCATTGTGTCTGGAGTAACTTTGTTCTTTATATACTGAGAGAATTGTTTCTTGTAAACATCTTCACCTTCTTCCATTAGATAATGCATATCATCTGCAACATTCTGACCCCTGATGTGGTTCTGATGTACTTCTGCACTGAACTCCTTGTT